TTGCACTGCAGTTTTTCGAGAGTTAACTGAGCCTCTGTCGCCATGTTGTCGGTCAGTACGAGTATCTTTAGTTTTTGCCCTCAGGCTGATTATAGGTTAGGAGGTCTGTAGCAGCTTCAGCTCGTCGTACCGCCAGCTGCATGCTTTGATGGTGGCATGTTGAAAGGCTGAGATGTCACAAAGAAGCTCAGAGGACAGACTGTCACAGAAACACGAGCCCCCGGGGGTGAAACTATAGCATGATGTCATGAGGAAGATCGAAGCATGAGTCACTAATATATATGTTCATAATGGGGGTAATATAGGAGAGTGTGTGTGTGTGTGTGTGTGTGTGTGTGTGTGTGTGTGTGTGTGTGTGTGTGTGTGTGTGTGTGTGTGTGTGTGTGTGTGTGTGTGTGTGTGTGTGTGTGTGTGTGTGTGTGTGTGTGTGTGTGTGTGTGTGTGTGTGTGTGTGTGTGTGTGTGTAGCTAGGAGAAGTGAAGACTTGATTCCTTCAGCTCTCTCACTGGTCTCCTCTACTGTAGTTCAACATTGATTTTTCCCTCCTCACTTTGAAACAGCCCGTGGGTTTAAATTGTGTTACTGTAAACTACATCATAATGAAAGCAACCTGAGAGCAACTTAGTCTGCAGCGCACTTTCACACACTGTCGACGTCTTACTGTCTCTGAGCTGAAGGCTGACCGTTGTTGGACATACATTTACTCAGGTAAGACGAAGCATCATCTTATTCAGGTTTGTTAGTTTTTATTCAGAGAACATTGTCATGAGTTTTCCCGTGCTTTTATTTGTCCAAGTTTTAGTCAAATTGCCTCATTATGTAATAAAAACTTTTATAGTTCGGTTATATCTCCAAACACTGGTCGAGGCATGATAGTTAATTCACTTGTTTCAACTTGAAGGAATTATTGAGATAAAAAAAAAAAAACTTGCCATCTGTTAGTGAGAACTTTGATTACATGCTCATGTCTGTATACTCCCTATTCTAACTGCTCATCAAGGTGTGACGTTTTCTCTTCACTGTGAATGTCACAGAGTCGTAAATGGGGGGATGATGTGATCCCCCTTTGTACCAACTTCAGATGTAGTAATGAAGGTGTTACAGGGGCGAGATGGGATCAGCAGAGCCAGTGAGGGAGCGCAGTGTGTGTGTGTGTCTGAGTGTGTGTATATGTGGATTTTATGTGCCTTTTATTGGAGAGAGTGAATGAAGTCAGAGATCAGGGAGAGGGAGAGAGAGTGGGGAAAAACATGTAAGAAAAGATCCAGAGGTCAGAATTGAACCTGGGCCGCCCGCTCAGAGGACTTGAGCCTCTGTACATGGGGCACGGGAACAAACCACTCGCCCATAATCACCCTTTAATGTGGACATAGAATAGAGGAATAGAGTTAAACAACTGCTGACTGACACTGTGGTAAGGATTTTGCAGCCAACTATTTGAAACAAAAATGTCAACCTCATCCTGTAACTTTAAAACTAAATGTAGAAGGTTTTACAAAAGTCTCATTTCCTGTTTAACTATCCCAAATATTCTAAAATAATAGTATAAAAAAGGCAAATTTTTATTGAAGTTCAGAACAGGAATAAAATCAAATAACTCTTCTGGAAAAAAGTTTTTAAAAAGCCTCATTAAGTTGTTTATTTCTAATTTAAAATACTAAAAAGAAGTACGAAATAAAAAAATCCTGTTTCAAAGTAAGCTGAGGATCAAACCACACGTTAGTTGTAACAGTAGAAGACAATAGAAATAATAAGTTTTGTTCTAAATAAATTCTGTTAAATATACATTTTAATTTCTTTACCTTTCACAGTAAATCTGTTCAATAAAATAAAAATATTCATTCATTAAATCTCATGTCACTGAGTTCAAGACTTAGCCTTTCATGTAAGATTTATTTCCTGCTGTTGCATACACATGGATATTGTGTAATTCATATTTCTGTGTGTGTGTCTTGTGTGTGTGTAGCAGTATTTATAATGCGCATCACATTGTCTCAAGGCTTCACTTCACTTTATAAATAAGACATGAGGAGAGAGGTATTTCAGGGATGATGGCACACAGGGACAAGTTGATTTGAGTTAACTAACAGGATTCATCATTTAAGATGGTTGAGAAGTAGACAGTCATGTACAGTTTGGTTATTTATATAGCCTAGATTGTTGTTCTTGAAGGCTTTGTAATACTGAGTTCTGTTGTTTTAGTACACTCTGTTGTTTTGGGAAAAGGAAAAATGTTTTAAGAAAGAAACAATGGGAGAAACCACAGGAACGCAGCAGACAAAGACACACAAACACACACTAAACAAAGAATATTGTTGTGAAATGAGTTCTCAAATTGTAACATATTTTGCAAACACAGTATGAAACATTACTTTTCAGTGACTAATCAATGATCAAAGTGTTTCAGTCCTAACCTGACATCCATGTATGACTTGTACCATGCTTCAGAGTGTTTCAGAATTGTTATTTCTTCTTACTTAAAAGAAAGATGACTTGTGTGATCTCTCTCCAAATGCTTTATTGCCTTGGCATTATGACAACATGTAACTTTTTCATGACATTCATGTATCAAAAGCTAATCAATTAGTTCTCTTTTTAGAAAAAAAAAAAAAACCTGTTGCCAAACGCTTCATAAGCATGCAGAGGGGAAAAGTGGTGTTTGTGGACTAAGGATGTTACAAGTCAATTTTCCCTGTCATACATACATTACATTTTATACTGGTCAGGTCAACTCATTCAAAGTTATGAAAACACTCCACACTGCCCAAAAACCATACTGTGTGTAACCTATTTAATTACTATTTTAAAAAAGTTGAGCATATTTTCCCCCCTCAAAAACATGGACGGCTCTTAATGCAGAACTTTAATGCAGACTTGGGAGGAACTTTTGCAACGTGCATCACTCTGCACTTAAAATATGTAAAATTGGTTTGTGGTGAGTGTCTATTGTTAGTAACGCTAGCACCACCAGCCTGCAGGTGAATGTCCACATGCTTACACATTGCTCATGTGAAGTGCTTATATGCTAGTTTACCTGCCCAGCTCCTACAAGATGCCATCCACACACTGTGCTGGTTTACATCTGGCCTGTTATCAGGAGCTACAGCCCTGGCTATAGGTGGACGTCTGTATTACAGCTTGGAAACAACATTTAACCACAATTGTTGGGAAATATTTTATGAATGTAGAACATTAGTTTTTATCGACTAGTATTTCTGTTGCTGGCTAGCAAGCATGAAGACTATTGTTTTGTCTAATTGTGCCTGTTTCCCTGTTGTTAAGCATTCACTACGTTTAAAATAAAGTGTTTTTTTTTTTTTTCAATCAGACATCATAAACAGATCACCTGGGCTCATGTAAACATTAACAGCTGCTTTAGATCATGATCATTTTGCACCGTCATTAGTCTGCACCTCAGATGAAGGCGTAGAGGTGATGGGAAATAGGGGGGGGGGACTGTTGAAGCCCCCACCCTTACATCTTTGGAGTAGGGGTTGTGTCTGCAGGGCCGGGAGGGGACAGCCGGTGTTGGCACGGCCTGAAAGGAGCCGTGCTCCTGCTGCACGTGCCAAGTGGTGTCAGTCTGCCCCCGGCTCCCTCAGCACGTCTCACCCTGCAGGCTGCGGCCACGGGACCAGAATACATTAGGAAAAGCTGTTCAAACATATGGTGTCCTTTTTAGATTCAAACAGAGCTTTCATTGATTTTGGAGATCTCCGGTTTGACTGTTTTTAATCAGTTTTTAAGCACAATTTACTTTTAATTCCTCCTAAGAAACATTTTTGTTTCTTTTTAATCATTTTTTTATTCTCTTAGAGCTTCAGTTCCTCACTTCAGAGTTTAATTCACTTTTCTTGATCTCTGTGTTTCTCCCAGCTGAGTAATCTGAACTTGTGACTAACCTGGATCTCAAGCTTTTAGGTTACTTTCATGTTGTAATTGATATATTACAGTAGAAAACCACCTTCTCTTCTTTCTTCTTTCCCACTCGGTAACGTTCACATATATTCAAACCTCTGTGGTGATACAGCTCTTGTCTGTGAGGCAGATGTCTGGAATGCACAGCTGTTTTACTGTATTTTTTTACAGCATATCTCTTAAATCAATGCCTGTATCCTTTATAGTTTGCAGTAAGGATGGATGTCAGTGACCTTCTGACAACATCTTTCAATAGAGACCAGCAATCCACAATCTGTATGAAACCTTCTGACTAATGTCAGTATTCAGCAAAGTACAAAATTGTATGTGTCTAGAGATTCAAATGACTTGAGGTTGACCCTCATTGATGTGTTTCCTTAGTTTTGAAAGTCTATCATATAGCTCATATTAGTGAACAGTTGCATTGAAACTCTGATTAGCACATTAGCACCTTTTCACTCCTAATACCAATTTAACCCTTTCATGTTCTAGTCATAAAAAATAGTTGAATCCTCACTTTGTTGTTAGATGTCAGCCCTTCAGAAAAAATCAAACAATAAATGTAACTTTTGTTTTGTTACAGTGTATTCTGGTAATTTCCGTGCAAACTGCTTTTATAACCATGTATGTTTTGAGAACGCATCTTGATGCAGTGTTGATGTCATCACATTTGTGCTAACTCTGAGGACTGAACCCTGGCCAGGGTCATGGCTGCTTTTTGCCTGATGAATGATGTTGCCTGTTTGGTCTGATTCATTTTTCAGCAGTTTTTTGATCCCACTGCTTCTTCTGTTTCCACCACTTGGATCATTTATTCTTGAAGTAAAACTAAAATGCTCTTGTTATTGATTGGTATCATTTTATCGATCAGGATTTTCCCACATTTACGAACAGAAACAGTCAATGACTCTTTACTTGTACTGTCATTGAGTTTTGTTTCCCATACTTTATTTCATGTTTTAACACTAATTATATTCATAAAACTTTAAACTTGTGTGTTTTTACAGAAGCTGACATCTCTTTAAATGCTCACATATCACATGTAACTGAAGCTTAAACATACAAAGGCTACTGTCTGATTTTGATCTTCCTTCTCTTTTTCCAGATCTCAGCCTGGTGATTCTTCGCAAGTATGAGTGGAGGAGTGAACATCAAAGTCGCATCTCAGACTCAGAGCGACGCAGGTGTCGGCTCCGCTTTGCCTTTACCTCGAAGCGTGATGCCTCTCTCAAAGATGGATCCCAAACAACAACAATACGGCGGCCTCTCCAATCCCACCACGCAGTATCAGCACCCAGCCAAGAGGCGGCCTTCCTTCCCTTTATCTTCTGTTTCCTCAGGTCCTGCAGAGCCGCTCAGAGGTGCAGCTTTAAAGAACCACCTGCTGCAACACAAAGCCGGCATGCATTATCACAGAAGCCCGGCAGCTACAGAGCGAACCGACGGGACTTGCTCGGCCTACAGTAGCCCGCAGATACCAAAGAGACAAGCCCCGCGCTCGAAAGACACTCTCGACCTCCGCACCAGCACGCTCACTCAGAAGGCTTTGAGAGACCTGCAGCTGAGACGAAACACAAACCAGAACTGGACCTTTGGGAAATATCGCCTGAGAAGTGTGGACAACGACGCCCTGTGCAGGCTCTCAGGCCAGGGAAGAGGACGTCTGCTTCACAGTAAAAGCACAAATGGAAATGAGGAATCCGGGGTTTCTTCAGCCAGAGTGGGAAACATCCAAAGAGAGCTGAGGAACATCTCAAGCCAGGACGTGCGAGGATGCAAAAGACTGGTGTCCAGTAACAACCAAAAGTCTTCTTATCAAACATTCAACATGCCATGTCGAGCCAGTGAACCAGGGCAAGTCAACATGGCTGCTGTTGCTCCCTTCAGGTTCAGGTGAGGGCAGTGTTTCACCTTTTTTAGATGGGAAGATAACTGCCTGACTGCAGTTTATTTCTAACGCAGCCCTCAGGATCTCAAGCTTTCTCATATAAATGACCAATTAAGTGTTTAAAAAGTGGATCTTACATTTTGGTTGTTTTTATTTAATTTAGTTTTTAAAAATGTTTGTGCCTTTCTTCCCCTTCAGATATCAGGTCCGTGAGGACACAGATGCCACCCTTGATGATCTCAGTGACTGTTCATCCGACTCCATGGAGGTCTGCTGTGACGATCTAGGTGAGTCTCTTTCAGGATCCTCACATTAATTCTTCTGTCCGAGAAATATACGTAAATATATCTTTACTTTAAAACAAAAAGTCCTAAACTGGAAATCTCAACTAATTCAAAGGGTTACAAAATGATTGGATAGGACAGGAACAAAAACCATGTTAAACTTTTAGAAAACAGATTCCTCTGTTCATTTTTGGTCTTTTCTTTCAAGATACTGAAAAGAATTCTTCCAGAGACTTTTCAACTAATCAATATGAGACGAAATTTCACTCTTAAGATGAAATACTGACAAGTCTTATGTTCAAAGTTTTGGAGGCAACTTATTTTCATTCACTCTTTTTCATTTCATTTCATTTTATCTTTTTTTACTCTAATGGCTGTTCAACGAAGGCATTTTTTTTACCCCTAATTTAAAACACACCTATAAACTGATTCCCAAAGCTCAGCCTTTTCAACCTGTGACAAAGCAGATAATCATTTAAAGGGGTTACAAACCACAGAAGGTTCAAACAACCACTTCCAGTCTTTCTAAAGATTAACTGGAATCTATTCTGTTGCTATTTCTACCATCAGTCTGTTTTTTATCGGGCAAGCTTCACCTAAAAGTATGAACATCTTCTATTATTATCAACAAGTCTGCAGCAATGTCCACAATGTCAAGCAGATTGATACTGGACCTCATTCATCACAATAATATTGATTAAACTGCTAGAAACTGTAACACTTTGATTAGGTTTCAGCAACAAAAAACTAGTTGATCATGATTAGGAAAAGAGTGTGGTTTATGTTGGAAATCATTGTTTCACATTTGTGATGTGGCTTATTTGAATAACTCCTCGCTGATCCCTGCTCTCAAATGGGACATGAACTCCGCCCACTGAGTGAAATTCTTCTGTTTGACCCATCTGTCCCAGCCGTGTCTTAATGCTAACATAATACAACATCACCTGACCCACTTCTGTGGTTTTCTCACATCTTGGCTTTATGATAAAGAGTCTTCTCAGCTGATGAGCAGGTACCACAGAGCTCTACTACCTTTCATCATTTTTCCTATGACACTGATAAGGGCTGCTAAATTGGCTGATTACACTCAAATTGTATTCTGAAAACATCGCCGTGACCCTTCCAATGAGCAGTGACTCTGCTTTTGGATGATCACACATGGTTATTGTCTAGGATCTTCAAATTAAAGGGCTAAAGACAGTCTATCCTTCTGCCCTCTCTAGAACTTCCCTTTGCTCATAGTGCCTGAAAAAGTTACATAAATGTTGGAGAACACTAACTTTTCACTCAGTTCATTGAGTTCAGATTGTTAGTTATGCAAAACACTGTTATTCCAATTCTGCTATAATGCATCCAGTGACACCCAAGCTTTTTAATATTGCTGAATGTTGACTTTGGACTGTGTTCAGCGTGGCAGTTGTTCTCACCAGAGCCGCTGCCAACTCCCAACGAACGCTTCATACTGCATGTACCACCTGTTATTTGCATCAGGACTTCCTGCAGTACTTCAGTTCTTTCTTTATGCGCATGTGGGAAAACAAAGATTCTTGGCAGAGAGAACTTCTCTCAAACCACGCTGCACTCTTGTTTGTTGGACGTTTTTTGTGTCTCCGGTGTGCAGTTGTGATTAAATGTACGTCATTATGTCGGTGCTGTGTGGGCATTAAAAAGTGACTGTTGTGTTTGTTCAGATGTGTGAAAGAACTCCGTACCTAACACGTCTTGTTGCTTAGAGACTGACATACAAACACGTTGCGTTTTATGTAAACACGGGCTCAACGTTTCATAACTTAAAGGAAAGTGAATGCAATTCACTGTTAGCAGCTACAACCACAACCATTCAATTAATTAGCTCCAATTAGACAGAGATGACATAATTAAAGATCGTCTGTAAATAAGTGATATTGATTGAAGTCAGTAAGCAGACACTCAGGCCTCAGGGGTATCAGCTGTGGTCACAAACAGAATAAATACTTTAACATGTTTGTTGTGTGAGTTCAAAGAAAGCAATGGGTAGATATGATTTCTAGAGGCCTCATCAATTTGACTGGTTTTTAAGACTTTTAAGAATGCAGCGATTAAACACCAAACACATTAATGTTCACCTTTTCAGCTTGTTGGGCGTGCAACTTATTTAAAATACGACTGAGCTTAAAACCAAGTTATCAGCTTAAAGCTACGTTAGTAAGCTAACATTTGCATTGAGGTTTGGTCGGTAATCATCTTATCCATATTTACAAACTGAATTTAATTTATTAGCATGCTCACATTATAATCAGCATCTAGAAAAGCATGGAGTAGTGAGATTGTGTTCAGTTGTGCATATATTTGATCATAAACACAAGAATATTGGACATAATGACGACAATAGATTTTAGTGTGATGTGTCTGTCTGCAGGTGGATGCTGGGGAGGTGGTGGGGTTGAAAGTAATAGGGAAGTACTGGTGAAGGGAAACAGTGGCGATGACAGAGCAGAGTGAAACCGGAAAGCTTGCAGCCTAAATAGACTGCCTAATTGTATGAGTTTGTCAGGTTTATTGAGGAGATTGAGCATAGACTGCATGTAGTCTCAGGGAGGTCACCCATTGGTTTCAGAAGCAGATATTTAAAGCCAAAGGTTAGTGGTTAGAAATGCTATTTAAAACTAACTTGAAGTCAACCTACAGTAGCAACAGGCAAGATAGTTGGATTTTAGGCAGGCATTTAACCTCCTGGCAAAAAGCTACAACATCTCCGACTATCAATTAGATCAGCCACACTACTAAGTATGCATAACTCCTATCATTTATGAAATTAAAACAAATGAGTTATAAACCAAATCACCCCCTGTACAGTGTGTGCAGATAGCTTTTCAGACTGAAAACATCTTTTCAACCAGGCTGTAAACATGTTTATGGACACTTGAGGTACTGCATATTTGTATACTTCTGCATTGGCTAATTCAAAGCTTGATCCAAAGGCAACTGGACTTGGTTGAAGGTTGGTTCTTGAGAATGACGTTTCTCAAATAGAACATCAGTGAAGCTGGAGTTGCCTACCTACTAGCTCCCAGGCCTGGCTCATTTACTAGATATTATCTCACTGATTCTGTTAGTGCTAAAATAAAACCTGCAAGTAATTAGTCTTGATCTGTTTGAATTAAAAATGTCTGTCACTGAAGAAGTTAGTTTATCCTTCTTATTAGTGATCATTACAACAAATTAAATTACAGCAGTATTTTATTTAAAAACAAATTTAAAGCCTAAATTAATTTACAGTAAGTCAATTTACCAAATATAGTTGTCACTTCTAATCACTGTACAAACTCTTTAACCTTTTACTACCCTTTAATTGTATTGGGCTATTATAAAGCCTTTGGCTGTCTTCTTAATGACTGTGAAGTTGAGAGCTTCCAGCCAGTGTCCTCAGGGAGAGACAGACCAGAGACAGATTGTCCCTCTGCTCGAGGTGGACAGATGCAGGACTCTGAGATTGAGTGGTTTGATGGGAGGATCATCTTTCACCTCCTGTCTTGGAGTTCCTCTTGTCCCCACTGGACCGACATGATGGATGGGTAAATTCAGTATTTGAGCAGGGATGTTTCTTTAGTAAGCTGTGATTCAGCTTCAGCTAAGAACTAGAGGATGATTTATTTTATTTTTAATGACAGGTTTAATTCAGTAGAAACATCTGCAGAATCAAAAGCCAAGTATGACTCTGGTGAGAAATCTTTCTTTAAATCAACTTATGTTTCAGTTTAGGAAGAATATTAATGACTCTCACAAATGTTTGAAATCAAGCATGATAGTTTTACCATTGCTTTCATTTTTTTAAAAGAGCTTGAGCTCATCATGACGAGATTATTACTCAGCATCTGAAAGCGCTGTGACTGTTGGGATTAGTCTTCCTTCCTCAGGCTGCTCACTTTAGCACAATGATTCTCTTAGATCTCCTTTGAATGACTTTTTGTAAAGCAATATAGGCCTCATGGCTTCAGTTCCATTCAAAAACACATTCTTTATATGTACCTCGAACATTATGTTTATACCTGCTGTACATGTATGAATGTATCATTGACATTTTCTGGATTTCCCCCTTTAAGCCCATGTGGAAGTCTCCCAGTCTACCCAAATGTTCTTGAATCCGTTCCCTTTAACAGCTGAGCTGGCCTAAAATGATTACATGTGCTGTCCAGGGAAATATAAAACAGACAGCTGTGTAACTGTGCTGTCATACACGTGCACACACACATAAACACACACACACACACACACACACACACACACACACACACACAGTTACTCGCATGGCCAGTTTGAGATGGAGAATCAGAGCCAGATGTGAAAGAAACCAAATGAAAGATACAACTCCACCCTGATCCCTCCTGAGAAGTGGCTGCATCTGAACGTTTCCACATTTATACTTTATTTCCAGTTCATCCAATCGTTGTCGAGACATTTCACTCTGAACCACTAATTTCAATCTGCCATTGGGGCTATGGTTACAGTCAGGGGATCAAAAGAGTTGTTTGCTTTCAGTCTACATAAAAAAATCAAAAAGGTGATAGTCTCTCCCTTAAATCATCAAATCATGTATTGACAGACTTTTTTCATGAAGAAGTGGATGTAGCTTGTTGGTTTCCATACTGAAGCTAATACTAAGGAACCTTAAACATGCATTCTTCCTTTGGTCATCAAAAGGCGACTCAACTGGTTGATAAATGAAACCGATGTTTGGAAATAGATGAAATAATTACCCTACTTCTAACCTGATTTATTACCTTGGCGTTATATAAATTGATGGAGGGAGCTCAGAATAGATCTGCTTCTTCTTAGCATCGGAAAGGAACCAATTGAGGTGGTCCAGGCATCTGATTAGGATGCCTCCTAGTCACCTCACTTTGGAAGTCTTCTGAACTAGTCCAAAGAAAATCCGGGGGTAGACCCAAAGCTCACTGTAGGGATTATAAATGCAATCAGGCTTGGGAGAGCCTCTGGATCCTCCAAGAGGAGATATAAAGCGATGCTAAAGAGAGGGACGTCTGGGTCAGCTGACATAACATGTTGCCGCAGAAGAAAATGGATGGATGGATCATAACTAGAGGTTTTTATAGACAAGTTATTTTCCCATTTAAAGTAAATAAGATAAGGTATAAGCAGGCTGTGCTTTGGGGCATGGTTACTTGGGACTTACAAATGGCTCCCACACCACTTCTCAACTAGGATAGAGATGAAACACTGAGTACATGTTGACCAGTCGTTTTTACTTGTGGCTCACAAAAAAAAAACATGGTGATTGCCAAAATGCACAACTTAAGGCTTCTAAAGAGTAGTCCACAAATCAAAGGATGACATTAACTTCTCTAGGCCCACTTCTATACTATCTGCTGCATGGACCATAGTGGTAGACTAAACAACCAACACACTGAATTATGTGACCATCACAAGAGTCAAGTGAAGCGTTATTAAAATATGAACTCATCTTCTGGTATGAGATGCTGGTTTTGTTTCTCTTAAATGAAAACTTTCAGCAAAGGCTTGCAGCGAATCTGGCTTGTCAGAATGTGTTATCCCATGGTTTTATGAAGAAATTCCCACTCCCCTAAACAAATGAGCCATTCACTGAATCATCGGAGTTAAAGATCTCCAAGAGTGATCTGCAGTCAGCTGGGGAGATCTGGAACTCGTGATGAGGAAGAAAAAAAGGACCTGACATTGTTCCCAGAAACTAATTGCCTGATCAAACACCCTCACTGGTCCCTGACCCGCTGCAGGTGCCCTGAAACCCAAAGAGAAAATGCAGTGGAGTGTGTTGCAAACCCATGCGAAGAGATTGAGTCATACCCTCAGGGCATTATAACGAACAGGTCAATCATAACCAGAAGATTTGCACCATGTCGCATAATTGGTTTCAGTCTTACTGAGCTGTGGAAAAGAGCAACTGTCTACTGAGTCTTTCACTTGATAGCAGGAACTGAAAAGCAATTCATGTATTAGCACTGAATTTGTATTATTAAAATAAGAAATATGGCATAGTAGTAGCTTATGGAAAGGGCAAATGTTTCTTTCATTAGCTATGTTTGTGCAGAGCTTTGAGGTCTGACGCAGATGACGTGCAGGCGATGAGAGAGGCTGGTTTCCATGGAGCAGTGCTGCATGTGAGCGCTGCAGAGCTCCTCAATCCTCCGGAGAGATGTCAGTATGGAATATCTTAAAAGATGATTGTACTTGTATGTTTTCAAAAAAAACATGCAAGCCTTTCTTGAAAACAATATGACTGGATTTTTCAAATTAACACAGTCATGGTTGTGTTTGTGTATTTATACTGTATGAGTCTTGGACTGACTTGGAGATATTTCCAAATTGCGGTTTTGGGTGTGTTACTTACTTACCCTGGCACATCTTGTCGCTCGCTCAGTCTACTGAGGTGATGTCACCCATTCGGCCGTGTGGAATTTTAGCCAATCTGTCTCTTTCTTTCAAGCACCGGACCAAAAAGTCAATAAACTGCACATTTGGACAATTAGCATAACACATTTATACATGTATGTAATTTATCTGATGGTTCTGATGGTGTCTATTTATAGCTGGAGAACACACGGCTGATTTTGAGCATATGATTTATCCATCTTTTAATCTGGAATTGATATCGTAAGCAAGCTCAGACAGGATCAAGAGATAATCTGGATGCTCCAGTTGTTGCATTGTGCAGATAGTGATGACATTTTATGCTGAGGTCTGTGATTACATACCTAAATGTGTGCCCGTTCTCATTAATAACACTCCCACTAACATCACAAATCATGCATCATGTTGACTGTATTGAACAGGCAACACTGGAGGTGAGGGAGGGGGAGGGGAAGAACAAAGGAAACGGAGGAGGTGGTGGGAAAACATGGTGTGTTACAGGAGAATGGTGCCCAGTTTCGATAGCCAAAGATGATCAGTTCACATCGCCCTCTTGCATTTAATATATTCTGCTTAGACCAGGCAAATCATCTTTAAATGAAGGAAAAAACGGGGGAAGGAAGAGGAGGAGGAGGAGGAGGAGGAGGAGGGAGGATGGGAGGGAAGACGGAGGCGAGGGAGAGGCAGCAGAAAGCAGGGGGAGGGAAGGAGGGAGGGAGCGTTGTTGCGTCTGCCGCCACTGTCATTCCGCTGCTGCGCGGTTCAGCGGCAGGAGGTAGCGCTGAAGGGAGGAGTGTGGAAAAACGGAGGAAAGGAGAGAAAGGGAGTGCCTGGGCAGCACTGCAACAGCTGCAGCTGCAGCAGCGTGTCAGGAGGAGAAGAGGAAGAGCAGGAGAAGAAGAAGAAAAAGAAGGCTGCAGGATTGCCTTAAAGGAAGCATTTTCTGTTGCTTCTTGCACAAGGAAAAAGATTTGATAAGGAAGCCGGTTCCCTCCCCTGCTGATGCTTTTTCCTATGGTCTCATGAAGGAGGAATGCTTGGAAATACTGTGAAAGGCTGAGAAGGAGATTTGAAGATGGACCGGACGGATAGCACAAAGGCATACGGCCAAGCAGATGGCAAAGGAGTTGGTATGGCAGCTAAGAGGGCCAAGTCTGGAGTGCCCCAGAGCACACCACGAGGTGAACTGAAGGTTTACCGGGCTGGTAGTTCTGATGGCAGGATACCAGTATCCTCCAGTCTCCGCAAGCAGAGGTCCATGACAAACTTGGCTGTACTCACTGATGCAGAGAAGAAGTTGCACCTTTATGAACCCAAGTGGTGCGATGACATGTCCAAGCCTGGAGCGGGGCAGGTTAAGATGGGCAAGCCAAAGACAGCAGGGGGTGGCAGCAGCGCCGGTGGGGGTGCGCCTCTCTCTCGAAACCTTTCCAAATCGGAACATTCGCTGTTCCAGGGCAAACCCAAGCCCTTCAGCCCTCTGGCTGCCCCCTCTGCCCTGAGCAAGCAGAGCCGAATACCTCGTGGTCCGTATGCCGAGGTAAAGCCCCTGAGCAAGGCACCTGAGGACGGGAAGTCAGACGACGAAATCCTCTCCAGCAAGGCGAAGGCTAATGCTAAGAAGCAGTGTGCAGGAGCAGAGTCTGGATCCAAAGGCCAGGGGGAGGAAGGGGGAGACAAGCCCTTCCTGAAGGTGGACCCAGAGCTGGTGGTGACGGTGCTGGGCGATCTGGAGCAGCTTCTCTTTAGCCAGATGCTGGGTGAGTACAGCAGAGCCGGTCTTGATACCACTTCAGTATGTGTGGCGGCCATGTGCTACAAACCAAACGCCCCTCTGTTACAATTTCTCAAAGTCGGCAGCACGCCCCCTTCGATTCAGCCACCACACGGCACCTGCTTGATGCTGCAGAATATACATATTTTGCTCCTTCCGATTAAGAAAAACCCAAATACATCCTTGTTTTGAATTGACAGCATACCCTGCTTCTTATTTATTTTATTGATTAATCCTTTATACTAGTATTTTCTTCACACCAACACCAAAGCTATACTGGTGCTCTATTGTTCTTCTTCCTCTGGCGTGTAACTCAGGTGTTTGGGGCTTGGTGCCATTGATTGTGTGAAATATGCTTGCCTCCTATTGTAGCATTGCCGGTTGATTGCATGAAAAAGCCTTAGGGTTCGGGGATTATTAGCGGCAGACTGATCCCCTTTTGTAAAGCTCTCGTTTACTGCAACATGTGCCGTTTCACCCGAGGGGTCCATCCGCTGCTTGCTTCCAAAAAAAAAAAAAGAGAGAGATGGGAAGAAGGCATGCCATATTGGATTCATTTTAAGCACTCAGACACATATTTAGCCTCCTCCCAGCTCCATTCATCTGTAGAGCATTGACAGATGGTTCACACCCTGTGTACTACGACGGTGCAAATGGCAGAGAAAATGGCTTTCTCCCCAGAGGTCTAGGTCAGGTTTATCAATCAGAAGGGCTGGCTGAAGAACAAATGCATTGATCAAATGATGGGGATTATGACTCAGATAAATTGATCTTGTTTTTTGCATATCAAAGGATGTGTTAAATGACAGGTGTCATCTAATCTGTTGGAGGACAAGGTATCAAATGTCATCCAAAATGTGGATGCTATACAATTCAGATCCAGCTTTTCTATCGGCTTTTCCTCTTAAGACTTCTTGAAATCTTTGTTTTAGCTGTTTTAATCTCCAGACATTTAATCTATAGGAGATTTGAGTAGCTTTTGGGTGGAGAAATAATTTCCTAGAGACTTAACATGCCTATTTTTTTTAAATGCATAAAACTACAAAGGTGTGAAATTAAATGCCATCGTTTATGTTCCTGATACCACTTTTAGTTCAAGATGTTTCTAATTTAAATAACTGTATTCTATGAGTGTAATTTTCTCACTCATTGACATCTTCATCATGAATTTGAATTCCTGAAATGTTGTCATTGACAATTCTGGTTCAAGCATGTCATCAGCGACCAATTCATGCACCATCTATTATTATTTGTTGTTCCATTGCTCCACTTCCATCAGGAGAGCATGTTCTCTGTTGCATCTTAATGACACATCTGTGGTGATTAAATCTGATATCCATGCCTCATTATGATATACAGGCATCACATTAGTCACATTACTAAGAATAACAAGTATATGATGAACAGGGGTCTGCCACCTCTAGAGGGTTTCTATACAGTTTTGTTTGACACTAGGGCCCAAATGTTCAAAAATCTCTGTAGAATTTGGCACCACACCCACATCTGCTTCATTAACCTATTTACATAAAAAAAAAAAATGCAGCAAATCATCTGAGCTGATACATCAGTGGAACGCTTTGACCTCAAAGATGTTTCCAAATCAATTAAAGGTCATTATTTTCGCAAAAAAAGGGAGTTTATTGTCTTCATGAATTATTTAGCATCATTTAAGATGATAATCCCATGCGGGCCTTTGACACACCAGTCAAGTGCTTTTTGCCCATTAAAGAAAAATCTGCATTGAACTGGAAACAGGACACACTCAAGGGGTTTGAAACTAATGCCTCACGGATTATTGACTTAAAGTGATCGACAAGATAGGAAAGACTATCTCTAAATATTTTGGAGGATGATCCCATGTGAGCCTTTGACATCTGTTTTATGGTCATGAGGGGGAAAAACATTCACAGAAGTTGATAAAGCCATGGTTGGAATTATGATTAATTCATGATTGAATGATTTTGATCAGCTAGATAAAAAATATTTCTTTAATTTAAGTAATCGTAGTAATATAAATGCATTCATTGCTGCTCTTTCTGAACACTGTTTCATGTGTAGAAGTCTGGATCTTATTCAATACTTGTTACTCCATCAGCTCCCTGTGTCCTACTACTGTACTGTGATGCACAGTGGACATGCTTGTTACTGTATATAGATCTTTTTATTCATAGTCGGCAGAATATTCAAAGCCAGCTTTACACTGCTCTGCTTCCGAAGCATCTCTCATTATGAGCTCTCTGAAAGCATGCTTTTATTTCTGACCACAGAGGGTCTCTTTGTTTACGCGTATGACATGAAGGATGGTGAACTTAGTTAACAGACTCATTGCTTAAACTGGCCATGTCAGTTTATGCAACAATGCTGTCATACAGCGCTGGAACACAGCATACAGCTGCCTTATCATAAGAGAGGGCGGCAGACGCACAACAAATTAAAAACTTTGATTCACATCTAGCTAAAATCATATCTTCATGCTTCATTTTTTGGATTATTCATCAAGCATAATGATTGCAACTCTTCTTCACACAGAGTTTGACCTGTCTGCAGAGTAATACATTAAAAGAGACTAACCTCAGAACTGTTGCTTCAGAGTATTTTCAACATGATGAATGCAGTATGACAATCAGATTCGAGGTCATGAGGACATATTTGTGAAGAAAGCAGCAGATTAGAGCAGTGCAGACAGCAGTGCTCCTGGAAAAGACTCTCCGAGACAACAAGGGGATGAGCAAAGCTCATTTTACCGCAATTGCATGTGATCCGTCATGCAAGACATCAAACGAAGCAACGGCCTTCAGCTATGTGGAATCAAAGTGGGGCAGTGGAGAGGCATAAGGTTGAAGTGCTGGTCATAGATGACATTATTTAAAGCTATTCGGGCATGCAAGGGTCACAGGATGTTGAGTCTTAAAGGTACAGTACAAGTAGAGCTAACATTTTTCTAACAGTCTAATTAAGACACAAATGGAAGTCGAACCCTGTCAACACTGGAGGGCAAAACAATTCACGGCTTCCCCGGAGTTTGTGTTTCAAGAAGGTATCTTTTTGTCACTTTTTGTCTGCGCTTTTGTCTGCTGATGTGTCATAGAGCGCAAACGAACAAGCAGGGTAGAAAACACAGATCTCAATCTGTTTAGATTCAGAACAGAAGACTGCGCCTCTAATAAGACAACAGTGGATAAAGTTTCAGGTAATTAAATGTGAAGCATCAGCAGGAAGAGGCATAAAACTGTGAGATCCTGACTCCATGTGACTTTATCAGTCAAACTGCATGGGTTTAAGCTAAGCTGCTGTAAGAAAGGAGCATTTCCCAAAGGTAAAAATGTCCCAGAAGGAACACAAGGATAACAACATTATTGGGTTTTTCAATATACATTTTCCTCTCTTGAACATTTTATAAAGTGCATTATATTACAGGTAAACTCAATGTACTTTACATTGGTGTTAAAACCACAGACAGTATAAAACATGGATGTAATCTTAGAGACATTACCCAATGTTTCTGAACTGGAGTTTAAAAATGAACGATGGCGGTCGCCATAATGGAAATTCAGTCCAAAACGTACTTACGGTCAAACTAGCAACAGGCAAAGATTTAGAGTTAAGGCCCAATCTCGATGTCTACCCTCACATACTTAATGATTTCGATGCGCATTCTCGTTAAGTCTGTGAGGGCTTAGGGCTGTCCCACTGTCGACTCGTCAAGTGCGTGAGGGATCTCTCGCTGACTCTTTGAGACCTTTATGCACTTTGTCCGTAAATGGGAATATCTGCAAATTTAGCGAGAACGCATTACCCAGAGTTCATAGCATAGTGTTGTGAAACATATGATTCCCAGGGGAAGCCCGCAAAAATGGAAAGGTAAACAAACGCCATAAGACGGAAAAAGAGAAAGATGGTTAATAAGCAGGAAGGTGAAACCACGCTCTATTTACAGTCTACTTAAAAAGTATATCTGATAACTACAGCTAATTCAGAACTCTACTCCAAGTCTGTTAACAAAAATGAGAGACAGAGATCATATTAGTCCTTTTATATATAAGATAAACCTTCATTTATCCCACAATGAAGAAAGCTACATATACAGTATATTAAGTAAGAACTTTTTATTAGCGCCAGGTGGCTGTGAGTAGGTAAAATAAAAAATGTAAAATAAAAATACCTCATGTCACATGACATCTTGCTACCATGGTTACAGAGAAGTAACATAGTGCTGTCCCATTGGTATTAAACCATTTTGAGCCCTTTGCAGCCTCGTGCACTCAATCACTTTCCAGTAAACGTAAAGTAAGTCCTGGTGTTGGGAGGAAATCGAGATTAAGCCTAAAAGGAATTTATGGTTAACCAAGAAAAGAGTTAGATAAAGACGGCCCTTTAGCCACCTGGAGGATGGCTACAATGTACCTACCTGTGTGTTGGGTCAGCCACACCACTAAGTTTGCATAACTCTTAACCCTAATATAACCGTAATGGATGATTTTTGTCAAAAATAGATTCTGGATTATTTTAACCAGTAAGTGATAGATGGTCACTGTGCGTGAACATCTATCACTCAAACAGTGATCAGCCACTTAACACATCACTGTGTCATCACTTTGAGTGTCTCCTTTCTAATGAACGGCTCAATTATTATCCCTTCCTTTCACTCATTCAGCCGCCTTTTTCAAAGTAAAAATCTCGAGGTCAAGGTCTATTAGAGGCAGAAGAAAAGCGTCACTTGTTTTTGTGCTGTGAGGCAACCGCCTTTTTTTTAACTGCCAATTACCTCAGATTTCTTAAGAAGTTTGATGAAAAGAAACAGGCCTGATATAAAACAGAGATATGGTGTCAGTCATCTCAGCGGTCGTCCTGTTTGTTAAAGACAGTTGAAATGGACAATATTCTCTTCTGACAATCAGTTAACTCAACATGAAGAACCTGTAAATGTAGCATGTTTGTAATCTTCTGGGCTTTTCAAAACATTTTGGAATCAGTTTTGAGTACTTGAGTTTGCCTCTGCACTCTTTCAATATAGGGCACTTCCCGTGTTGCATCATTCATGGGGCTTTCCTGATTCACATCTGCTTCAGTATTCTATCCGAGTTTTCCCTCTCTTGTATAGTAGACATCACTGCATTGCAGAGTGCCAGAGAACTGTCAGTCATTGCACAGGAACACAGGGCAAAATGCATGTAGGATATACTTAAAACAGATGTGATGTGTGTACTGGACATACAGGATTCATTTTTTGAGTACATTTCCAGAATCTAATCCAAACAAAATGAGCAGAAGTGCTGAATTAGAAGTTTTTTTTTTTTTTTTTTAATGTAGATGTGATGTGACTTAATATGTATTATTTGACCTTAAATATGTCTCTATTCTTGATGTCCAAAAACATCAGGAAACAAGTGTTGGGAATAAGTGTGTTGGCCTTGAAATGATGTAAACATGATATTAAGTTTCCCTTTTCAAACGGTCAAAAAAACTAAACTTCATGTCCCTTTGGGCTCACAGGGAAGCTTTGTAATAATGTTAACGTGCGCTGTACACATTTTTGGACTGATTGTATTTGATGCTTTGGCAACATTTTTCTGGAAATTTTCAAATCAATAAACCCCTTGAGATTTAATTGCACATTTGGATTGAATTGTATTTCTGAGGAAATCCAGTTTCTTAAAAAATCTGTTTAGTCTGCCTCAGCAAATATGTTTTTAAAGCATATCTAATGAAGATACTGTGAGCTGTGATGGAGCAAGATCTTTGTTTTTGCAGGGGGGTGGGGTTGGGGGGCTAGAGATTGAAGGGTGCAAGCATGCACGCAAGCACCCACATATGCACAGACATCATCCATTTTCCATTATCATCTCCACTAATCATATCTAAGTTTACTACTAACAAACAGATGTTTTAAACCTGTGCACATTGTTTTAGCTCTACAGTGACACAACAATATAATATTTAAAATATTTTAGCTGAATTCTTCAAGGAGGAAAAAGAAGATGTATGTCACAATTTAAAGTATTAACAAAAGGAAATGTGACACACTGATATTATGAAAATGTAAAGGAACTTCTCACAACCTGTTGTAACACAGTCCAAACAGTTGATTTTAACATAAGTTCCGCCTCTGACAAGGCAAATAGCCAATCATTGTAAAGGATTTTGGGGTGGCTGCTAGGGTGGCCAGTTAGATTTCTAGGGTCACCCACTGGCTCCGCCCCTGCTTTAAAGTCAAATGTCATATCATAATGTTTTTCACGTGTTTGCCACCAAGGAACCGCCCAAACAAATTGTGATGGTAGCAGCTACATTGTCAATAAATCTTCACCACCACAGACATCAAACTATAATTCATATTCTTTAAATTTAAGTCAAGTTGATTAAATTTGTCCTCAAAGAAGCTTAATAATCGTAGTTGACGTGAGAAAAGTTCCTATCGACATAATATATCAGATCAGGTCAATGTCTCATGTTATTGAGCTCTCATCGACTAAATCATGTCAACAGTTAATGTTAGCACTTTATTTGTAAAATGATCTAATATTGAGTTATTACAGTAATCCTAATTGACTCTTTTTAATTAAACATTTGGCGAAATGTGTTTGAAACGTTTTTAATATATATTTAAATGTGTCATCCTGAAGCTTTCAATTCACACCCTCTACACTCTGCTTTATTACTTCAAAGCTTTGATTAGAGCTGCACATTATTTGACATGAGCTCCCCTGACACCCTCGCCTCTTCTCCAGCTACACCACCTAATGCTTTGCATGATCATCTCCCACTCTCCCACAGGGTTTCTTCTTTCACACCGAGGAGGAAAACCCCATCACCCTTTTCTTTTTTTTCAGACAGGGGTGTTTCTCTCATCTGTTTCAGCTAACCAAACAACACTTTTTAATAAACTGTAACATTGATTTGACATGGTCATGACCCGCTGACGCCACACTTGACCAATGCATGCAGCTTTGTTAGAAAAAGACGACCCTTAGGGAAATGCTTCTGGCTACAGTTTAACTAATTGTTAGCCTTACAGTTCTAACTGAACGACTCCGCAATGATGCTCAATTTAACTGAAAGATTAAGCCCAATAAAGCAAACTAAAAGAGATCCTGGTGTGGTATATGAATGTTAGAATACTGTCTCATGTCGGGCAGTCTAAATTACAGAAAACCTTTCAGTATTTCATGTTCGGGATGTAGCATGTTAGTGCATAAGGGGGGGTAGAGTAGTGGTTACCATGGTGAGAGAGCCCATGCAGTGAAATTTGTCTGCCTAATGATGTGAACATACGTTGGCTCTGTGCCTACAAGGACGACACCTGTCTCAACAATTTAGACACAAATAAAGCAAGCCAGGACCACAAGCATGTTTGGGCAATCTGTCTGTGTGCATGCACGAATTCTGTTAAAACACAAAAACATGCCGCAGTACATCAATAGCCTCGATCTTTGCTGTATTTTGACACTTAATGTTTTATGACGTGTTTTTTTTTTCTGCATGGTTGACCCACAGACCCCGAGTCACAGAGGAAACGGACCGTGCAGAATGTGCTTGACCTTCGTCAGAATTTGGAGGACACAATGTCGAGCCTGCGGGGCTCCCAACTCAGCCATAGGTGAGTCATCTGCTTTTAAATTGTTGTATTACATCCCAATACATTATCTCATACACATCATATACAGACTTAAATACAGTGCAAGTTTTGATCATAAAACTTTGGCAGAATCTGAAACACACTCTCATGTGAAAAGCAATGGATCGCTTGTTGGCATTGCACAATTATCTGCAAACAGTTGTGCTGTGGATGCTTGGAGTGGTGCCACCTGTTTAACATCTGGCTCCTATTCGTCTTAAATAGCCCGTCTCTGCTTCATGGTCATGACATCATGCGAGGAATCTCTGTTCAGCTCTATTGGCAAAAGGCCGTGGGCGTAAATATGTTGCAACAACCACAAGAAAATAAGTCACTGCTGGGGAATAGGTATTTATTTTATTTGGACATAAAAGGGTGGTAAGAATATCCCGAGTAAGATTGCTTACATTACTAGCATTAGTGGGTACTTTATTTTCACACATTTCATTTCCTCTGTAATTTTAAACGGTTACACATGGAAAAGATCTAGAGCTCAAAAACATTTTATTCTGTGGATGTTTAAGCTCACTTTTATTTTTTACAATCCAAGTTAACAGTGTAGTGAGTCAAAACTGCTCTTATTACCCTCAAAAAATGACTATGAGCTAACATCTTATCATAAAATGGCTCATCGTCTTACTAGATGAGCAGGTTTGTAAAGATCAGCAATTTAAAGATTCTGCAAAACAAGCTCAGGGCTAATTTAATATCAACCTTGGCTTTATAGATTAGGTAGACACACATGTCTTCAAACTAACAGTCATCTAAATCTATGTCTGCTGAATGTGGTTGCTAACAGATTAGCCCAAACTTTATGAGCTAGTCAAATGTTGTGTATCTCTATGTTATGTGTTGAGTTTTTTTCTGCCACCTACTGGCCAGACATGAACTAAGGCAGCTTTAAAGTCTTGTGTTTTATGAAACAGCGGCTGCATTTTTACAAGAAATTCAACAGTAAGATGTGTTTGAGGACAAGGTTGCATTTGTTAAATATTATCAACAATTTGTTAGTACATAAAATAAAAGTCTAAAAATGCAAGTCTGAAATATTGATGGTTGGTTTTAGCTTTAATCCAGCTGTTGAGCTAACCCAGCCTCTTTTTTTTCTTGTTGTAGTGGAATACAGTACTATGATGTATGCGTCATATGGGAGGAAAGAAAGTTAAATTTTTAAGAGCCCCTGACCAACAGTGACCCAAAAATATTAGAACATCATTTATATATTATTTTTCAATATTGACAATGTTTTTCTATGTTTATCAGTCAAGCCCGATTTACAGAGACCCAACATGAATTCACCATGATCAAAAGGGATGGGCAATAATGGAGGAAAACATTAATTTGAAGGGAAGGACCTTGAGTAGCCCAGACCTGTTGGGACGCCTTCTGCTGAGACTGTGTTGGGCTTGGAAGTTGTGATGCAAAAGGAAAAAGATGGCTAGAGATAAACACATCACAACGACAGCTAATGCAGACATATGGCTACAGTCCCAATATTAATGGTATATGGTAACCATGTGTTTTATTCGATTGAACAGCAAAGTAATGGTAACAGACTGATCATAAACGTTAAAGTCAAGAAGTCTAACATGTGGCCCTAAATGTGTGGTGGCGCCTCTGGGTTGAAGTGTTTGTTCATACTGCTAAAAATGCTCTTAAAGCCATTTTAACTCAAGTGATACAATATTAAATCAACCCATCAGGTAAATCAATGACTGACCATACATGCATGTGATGAGTTCAAGTGATTGTCATCACTCATCATACCAGTAAAATCTTGCCTATTGACACTAGTTAACCCAGCAAATAAATAGTTATGTTCTGGATGTTTTATTAATTTTTCCATTCGTTCAGATTTCTTTCAAACAAGCTACTACATGACTCACTGACAAAAGTTGAAACTCTCAGTCTGTCAGTTTCTGGACTGAACTGGCACCGGAACCCGCCTCCATACTGATAAATTATCCATCAGCGACGGATAAAAATACTCCCATGGTCGAAGCTATTGCAATATTTATTCGAGTGAGTTGGTTCATGCAGTTATGTAATTGACAGACACAGAAGACGCTCAAAGCCATTTGGAGGGCATTTCTAACCCTGACCCACTTCCAGGAATGAATTGAAAAACTTTGATATACTCAACAGGCACAGAATAATAGAGCGAGCTGAGCGTTTTACTTTATTGACAGAATTTCTTGAAAAGGAAGGTCCTTGGTTAATGTAGATGGATTACAAAGAGAGACAGACTGATGCTGTGTGGTATGTTAAGACGGAGAAATCAGGTCATTCTTATCTTTGTCCACATTTCTAGCTTTTGTCCCTGAAGACAATACGACACAGAAATACTCTGTATCTGGGTCAACAGCAACTCAATGACACTTTGGATTCTTTGCTTGGTCTCATCTTATGCTTTGAAATACTGAATCTGTGGATCATTCTAGTCAAGACTGTCGGCTAAATGTCTCTAGAAGATAAACGTACCACTCATTGACCCCTTCCTTCATGTGTCTTTAGCTGTTTGGACAGCAGTAATGTGGGCTATGACAGCGACGAGACCAACGCTCGCAGCATTTCCAGCATGTCCAACCGCTCGTCCCCACTCTCCTGGCGCCATGGGCAGTCCAGCCCTCGTCTCCAAGCTGGTGACGCCCCGTCCTCCACAGGCGTAGGATACCAGGGGAGTAAGACTGGTACCCAGTACACAGCCAATACCATGCCAGCTCGTTGCTCCAGCCGCCTCAACAGCACGTCACGCATTGAGCTAATCGAAGGGTTGGACGACACGGAGCTCAAGTCTGGTTACCTGAGTGACAGCGACCTTCTTGGAAAGAGCCTGCCAGACGATGACGATGATAACCTGGCTAATGGGTAAGAATATCTGAACACAAGCAAGGGTTTGAAGCTCTTGTTACCATGAAAACCATGAACCAATTGTGGCTGTGAGATCAGTCGAGAGTGGTTGTCAGATTCCATTTAAATGAGGTCTCATTAAGCTAATTGGCCTCCTGTCGTACTTGTCAGACATTGCTGCATTTCAATACCTTGAGTGCAAAGATTGTAACATTTTAGCATTCAACTGAGGCGCACAAACTCTCATGAAGGAAACTTTTCATGCCGACATCATGGTTTTCTGCTTTTTAAGCTGGAATCTGATGTTTTGGACCTGGCAGGCCTATCAAAGAGCTTTCATCAGCAGTTTGTCCAGATGCACTACTCTGTCTTACTCTTTAAGGATTTCTCACAGTGCCGTTGACATTGACGGGGATTACTGACTGTGAGAGAATGCTTTCTGAAGTTTAGAGGGAATCTAAGGAGCCTTCAGGTGTCCACTTGGTTACAGAATAAATGTTCACTCAGGTCCAAATGGTTTAAGTTCACGGCCTCTGTAATCCATGAAAAAGAATGTCAACAAGTACGAAACCAATAAATGAAAGCAGAGGTGTGAAACTTTCTCACATTCTTCTACTTCGTCTTGTCCTGCTTTTTCTCTTATATCTTTCTCTGCCGTTTCGTCTTGTGTTTAGACCTCTTATTTTGCCTCTTGGTTGTCTCGTCTTCTTCAGCTTCTCCTTCTCCTTGTTAGCCTTCCTTATCACCCTCCTGTTACTCTTTGCTATCCTCTTGTCCTTCTTCTTCTTCCCAGCTTGAGTGCTCTATTTTCTTCTTCTTCTGCTCCTACTCTTGTTGGAATCCTTCCTCTTTTTCCTGTGCCCTTTAGTCATCTTTTTGGACTTCCTGTCCCCTGTTGCTTCTTCTGCGTGTGCCTTTATTTTTTTTTGTCTATTTCCTGTGTCTTCTGGTGTTTATCACTAGATGTTCTTCTTCTTCTCCTTGTGCATTTACAGTACCTCTTGTTCTTCTCCTTCTCCTTCATGTTCTGCTATTCTATCTTTGTTACCTGCTACTTCTTTTGCTTTTTCTTGTACTGCCCTCTTTTCATCTTTTTTTCTCTTCTTCTACTCTAACATATTCTCTTCCTTTCTCTACTTCCTGACCTTTTCCTTCACCTCCCTCCTCTCTCATCCTTTGCGTGTCTTTACCTAATTCAGTCTCCCAAGTTGTCAGTTGACAGTGAGAGTCAGATTGAGGGAGCAAAGGAATCCAGGACAGTTCTCTAGTGTGGTTTAGCGCTTTATCTCCGCTGCACATGCAGTGGGAATTAAGCTCAGCCTCTGGAGCGTTCAGCAGGCCCTGCTTGCCAGGTCACGTTCTTACTACATTTGCGGCAAGGAGACGAGGAAGAGATGAGGCACATTTTGGATGAGCACAAATTAGAGCAAGAGGGGAAGAGTGTAAAATGGAAGTAGGTTAATTCTTCTACTGTAGAACTTGGAGTCTTGTTGAATCACATCAAGGCATGATTTACGTGAAACTGAGAAGGATGAGCACGAATGGACAACTAGCTCCATGTGTAAAAGTGTTTTTGTTTGGAGGGAGGTGAAAAAGATCACACAGAAAAACCCCTGATAAAATTAGGATTAAACAGGGATTATGTCATATTCCTCAGTAACATCCACTCAAAATCCATTTAAATCTGCCCTCTGTGTTGTCCTCTCCCTCGCTGCATCAGTTCAACTGCAGTGATTCAAATTTATGTGAGAGGTGAGCGTGGGGGGGCTCGCCTCTGCTGTGCACCACAGGCAACGAGGATGCTGATCATTTTACATAACCGTGTTTGAAAAAATGCCGCATCATACTCAGTGTGAGGCCATCAATGTCAACTGTCCTATAACATTTGTACAAGATGACACTTGATCCCTGCGGGAGATTTTTTACCACTTACACCTTGCTAATTGGGACTGTTTGAGTATTCACATGCATATTCGCCAATGTGTTATCAAGACAGAAAGTATGGGCTTAAATGGCTGCCAGAATACACCAAGATTGGGAAATACTGGGTGCTATTTTCTCTCTGACCTTGAGTAGGATGCATGCTATGTTTGGTGGTGGAAACCAGTTTGATTTGCTGGTCTGTGTTTGCATTGGTTTAATGGAAAGTTTCTTTGATTTTTCAGCAGTAGTACTGGGATCCTGCTGGGTTTTATATCCCGAATTAATCCAGCCTCATAATACACCAACAACCTTTGGATGTGTAGATAACAAGCTAATCCAGTTTATGAAGAAGGCGCAGCAGCAGCACAGGCTCTGATTTTCTTCTTACAGTTTCCTCTTTGAATTTCTGGGCTGCATTAGCATTTCTACTGTACATCCCCCGTCACAGACCATCACAGCTCAGCTCGTGGAGAGCCATTAACTACCAGCTCTTGAAAATAGATCAGCTCCTCCTGCGTATCCATGGCAACCGGCTGATAATCGACTGTATGAAGAGGTGGAATTTGTTTTCCCTTTCACTGATGCTTCAGTTCTACATTTCATACATTCATTGATCTGACATTAGCCCTAAAAGCATGACCTATATCTGAACAGTTGAGTCAGACTCCTGTCAGTCAATATAACATCGTGATTTTTCTAATGTATAATAAGAGCATATATGTAACCCTGAAAACAATCTAGAAAAATACACATATCTGAATATTGGGACGGAATGAATGTTTTTCAGCATTTCAACATTTGCTTGATGTGTATTGGGTATTGATTGCCCACAGCAGACAGTACTGTCTGTTTCGAGGCTAAATGTGCACTCAATGACAGTAATCAGTGTGCCTGTGTGTCTGCCTCATCAATAATCTGAGGACACAAACATCCTAAATCTCCCCATGAGCTCCTTCTTTCAACCAGAGAGGGAAAGTCGCTGCTCTGGAGCAACACCGCCTAATGAGAATCTGGTTTGTCCCAGTTAAAGAAGGAAAATAGTAAAGAAGCCTCTTATTATTAATTAATATGCCTTATTATATTTCTCATGGAAAATGGGATAAATGATCTGTTATGAATCTCTATTTTTGAAAGTATAAGTTTGAGCCATAATACAGAAATGAGACAAAACCAGTCTGAAGCTGAATTTTAACTTGTTTTGCCTCTTGAAGAGAGATGTTTATTGAGAAAAGATGAAAAAAACCTGAAACTGGCCCTGACTTACTGCATGATCACCTTCATAAAATTATCGTCAACATTTAAGTAACAAGCCCTTAAAAGGTCCAGCAGACATGTAACTATAAAAATCCTTTTCGACCACTAGTTGGCAGACAAACCAAAGTGAGCTTATAAAAACTTACAATAATATTACCATTTCATGGTATCACGCATCAACAACTGACCCTCTGTAAGTCCATCATGACTGAGGTTTAATGATCCTCCTTAAAGGTGCAAAGTCCTCTCAAATATGTGTTGGGAGAGTTAAATGGAATGTCCTGACCCACAGCGAAGTTAATGTTTTAATGAACTGTTCAACTAGTCTTTCTGTTTGGTGAAAAACCAAGGGGCAGCTGTGGCTCAGTTGCTAGAGTCTGTCGTCTCTCAACTGGAAAGTCTGGATCCCCAGCTCCTGCAGCAACATGTCCGATGGGTCTTTGGGCAAGACACTTTCCCGAAGTTGATCCCGCTGCTTCGGCAGCATCACATGAATGAATGGGATGAGTTAATGCTGACAGTCACTTTACATAGCTGTGCCATCAATGTGTTAATGGGTTTGAATGGGTAGGTGTGACCTGTGGGGTAAAAGCACAAACTCAAGTCTATTCACCCTTTACAACTGGTTGGTAGTTTGTAAGAGCGTGTATCCTGAAAGTGGCTGGATGCTGTTGGAAATTTTGTTGATTACAGAGCCAAACGCAGGCCATTGACAATGAGTTTAAGTGACCCATAAGCAGCACCCTGTGACATTGTTGATGCAAAGCTGCAAAATATTTTGGAAGTATTACTTACCTGTGTTATAGTTCTGGTAGAGGTTGAGGGTTTTCATTGTGCAGGTTTGTCATATAGAAAGATATTTGTCAGAAACAGACCATGCAATTCATTTATTTCCTGATTAAATACTTATACAAACTTCACCATAAAATCCACTGCCTCTGAGTCACCCAAGAAGGCAAAAAAAGCTTTACAAAGAACTTCACTAGTTTATATAAAATAATTTAGCTCATTTCATTTCAACACTTTGTCACAAACACTTTGACTTCTCCCGCTTTGTGTTTGTCTGCGTTTCATGCGTCAGGAGTGTTGGGGATGGTTTCTGTTTTTAAACTTGACCACACCCACAATCATAACTGCTTCCTGTGGTTGCATTTTTCACACCATATTGGCAGACTTCAACCATCGCTCATATGATTTCACCCCACTGCACGCCATATTTAAAGCCCTGGTCTATGAGTAGAGCAGTAATCACTTTATTCTGCTGTTGTCTGGTTAGTTTTTCCATATCTGGTCTCTAAATTATGACTACAGTTCAGCACTTTGTGTCACTTTTGTGGTCTCCAGCTAATCATGGTTGATATTTTGCAGGCACTCAACTGTATTATATGTAAGCACAGGATGGCTTTTTATGACTAATACAGATGTCCACTAGGACACTACTTGTTTTTTCCATAATGCCCTTTCGTCGATGGGTAAAAAAACAGGCCTAATGTTTGTAACAGAACATGTTATTTTCACAGGAGGCCAGTCTGCCTCAACATCATCGCTGTCTCTGACACAGCAATGTACAATAATCTTGGCAGATCATCTGTTTCAAAACCATGAACTGGAAGAATTCAACAAAACAAGAGGATATATTTGGGCATTTGGTTTGGCTTCGACCGCTGAGCTACTTAAGGAGAGAAGCAGAAAAAGGCTCTTAGCTGCAATAAAGATCTTTGATGACTTGAGTGTTTTATAGGAAGCTGAAGTCTTGCCACACTCCTGTGTCCTTCATCACCCTCATAAAACCTGGAACACTACAATACTGAGACTTACTGTTTTACTGTTGCTGTTACTCC